GATGGAAATGGAATGCCCCCAAAAACCATGGGCTGGACTAGAGGCCACTTTGCCTTACTCCTTACGCGGAACAAACAGTCCCAGTCCGTGCGTCCACACACATACACACACGGGGCGTGCCGCTGGCGCTGAACTGGACGACTGGGTTACTCGAAGGTGATCGTGTGGCAGAACTATGGATGAAAACGATACGGATATTTATTCGACCGTCCGTTCGACCGAACAAATATGAACACTTATCTGGATAGTTACTCGGATATCCGTTTTTTTTCGGATACGGATACTAAAACGGATATCTTAGGCGGATATCAAATACGGATGTAATATCATCGATATCCGGCGGATATCGGATAATCCGGATAAGTATCGGATATATCCGGATATTTAAAAACGGATATTATCCGGATATTTATTCAAAATTTAAAAATCACAAATTTGAACCATCCAAACTATCTCAAATGGAAAGTTGACCAAAACAACAATTGTAGATCTTGATGAGTTGAACAAACTTGGTATTCAAAACTTTTCAATTTGAAGTCATTTAGAGTTCATAATACTAGAGTCAAAGTGTTGTTTTTTCATTTGACCAAATTTGACTTGGTCAAACTTGCTCAAATGAGACACTAAATGACCTCAGATGAAAAAACTCTGAATACCAAGTTTGATCATCTCAGCAAGATATACAATTGTTACATAGCTCATTTTCCCATTTGAGAAAGTTTTATCAAACACTAGTCACAAATTCTTGAATCTCATAGACTTTGTGAAACTATGTCACACACTTGTGAAATTTGAACTACATTTTGTTCAAACTTCCTCAAATGAAAAAATAGCCTATATAAGAATTGTAGATCTTGATGAGCTGAACAAACTTGGTATTCAAAACTTTTCAATTTGAGACAATCTAGGGTTCCGAAAACTAGTTTGTAAGCATCGAAATTTAAAAATCATAAATTTAAACCATCCAAACTATCTCAAATGGAAAGTTGACCAAAACAAGAATTGTAGATCTTGATGAGTTGAACAAACTTGGTATTCAAACCTTTTCAATTTGAAGTCATTTAGAGTTCATAATACTAGAGTCAAAGTGTTGTTTTTTCATTTGACCAAATTTGACTGGGTCAAACTTGCTCAAATGAGACACTAAATGACCTCAGATGAAAAAACTCTGAATACCAAGTTTGATCATCTCAGCAAGATATACAATTGTTACATAGCTCATTTTCCCATTTGAGAAAGTTTTATCAAACACTAGTCACAAATTCTTGAATCTCATATAGACTTTGTGAAACTATGTCACACACTTGTGAAATTTGAACTACATTTTGTTCAAACTTTCTCAAATGAAAAAATAGCCTATATAAGGATTGTAGATCTTGATGAGCTGAACAAACTTGGTATTCAAAACTTTTCAATTTGAGACAATTTAGGGTTCCGAAAACTAGTTTGTAAGCATCGAAATTTAAAAATCACAAATTTAAACCGTCCAAACTATCTCAAATGGAAAGTTGACCAAAACAAGAATTGTAGATCTTAATGAGTTGAACAAACTTTGTATTCAAAACTTTTCAATTTGAAATCATTTAGAGTTCATAATACTAGAGTCAAAGTGTTGTTTTTTTATTTGACCAAATTTGACTTGGTCAAACTTGCTCAAATGAGACACTAAATGACCTCAGATGAAAAAACTCTGAATACCAAGTTTGATCATCTCAGCAAGATATACAATTGTTACATAGCTCATTTTCCCATTTGAGAAAGTTTTATCAAACACTAGTCACAAATTCTTAAATCTCATACAGACTTTCTAAAACTATGTCACACACTTGTGAAATTTGAACTACATTTTATTCAAACTTTCTCAAAATGAAAAATGGCCTATATAAGGATTGTAGATCTTGAATCCATGACCATGACTCCATGAGACCCATGAAGCAATGTGCTTGGCTATTTCTACTCATGCCACGAAGATTGGTGCTTATATGATGTTTGATGTATAATGTATCTGTATCTTTATCTTATTTGTTGCTTTACTCTTTAGTCTTTCGGCTTAATATAGATGGATTATGGACTCATAGAGTGGTGTAATGGTTTGCGCACGTATGATATGTATATATGCTGCTTTTACTCAATATCCGAATAGATATTTGTATCCGACCTTCTCCGAATCCGATTTATACCGTATTCGATACTCATTATTCGTATCCGTAACCGAGTCAATCCGTATTCGTATATGTATCCGAACGCTATCCGTGTCCGAATCCGAATCCGAACAGAAATATGAAAACAAATATAATATGAGTGATATCCGTTCGTATCCGATCCGTTTTCATCCCTAGGCAGAACGCTAAATTTGACCATTTACCGTCCCCTTTTCTTTTTATTAGTTGTCTTGATTGATGACATCGTCATGGCTGCTATCCGATCCAATGACATCCATTTCATCTACATTAGCCCGATTTCATCTCTCTTTTCGTTTTCTACTCTATCTGTCAAAATCTTCATCAAGTCAATGAGCGTGCTACACTACTTCATCTTCGAGGCTGTGGATCTTAAAAAGGCGTCATGATGTTGACATTAATCTCGACAGTGCAAATTAAAGTTTGGTTAATACGTGTCCGTAGGCTCACGACCTTGATGGTGGATCGGTGGTACACGAGGTTCTTCCTACTGTATAGCCTAGTCGCCTTGATATGGTTCAACAGTATAGGCGGCGCTACGAGCTTTGTTTTGTCCGGTTGGTCGCTACTCTGACTCAAACAAAATCGTCCGTGCCAAAATGTGGCGTGAGAGTTCACGTGACAAGAATCAAATCAAAGTATTAGTACAAAACTAGAATAACCGAAATTAAGGAAAACAACCGTCCTGTTCGTTTGAACTTATTAGCCTGATTTATCAGACATGATACGATATTCTTCTCTTACGATAAAATAACACCGGCCAGTTTATCAGCTAAAAATCATTAGCCGAACAGCTCAATAACAAGAAAGCACACGTAATTCTAGAACTGTTGGACCATCCAACCTACAGTTGCACGATGACACGCATCTCTTTCTGTTCTTCCACTAGCTTAGCTTCTTGATGCATGATTAGTATATACTGTACCTAGTTGATTTGAGAGATGCGACTATGAGAGGGCTAGGCTGACCCTTGCCCGGCGACTCGCCGGCCGGGCTCTTCAACCACGTCCATAGACACAGTAATAGCTGGAGGAGGCGCAGGGGAGGGCAGTCCTCTTCAACGCGGACAAAATTAAAGGGGTCTGTCTACCGCAAACTTAGGCTCTGTTTGGTTGGGCTTTTGGCTTTGGCTTTTGGTCTCAAAAGCCAAAAGCTCAACCAAAGGGGCTGTTTTTGGAGGGTACTTTTTCAGAAGCAGCTGCTTTTCCGTAGTTTATTTTTTAAAACTGGTTTGACCCTGTTTTTGGCTTTTGGCTTTCTGCTTTTCGAAATTGGTGGAATAAAAAGCTCTTCCATAGTTGTTTCAAGAGAGATAAAGATAAAAGGTATATTTTATACTTGTTTAACCAAACAACTTTTAGCTTTTCTACAGCTCACAGCCCACAGTAGCTTTTCTACAGCTCACAGCCCACAGCAGCTTTTTCCCACAGCCACAGCTCAACCAAACAGGGCCTTAGGATCTGGCGCCCGAGTGTTTGGTGGACTTAAATCACTCGAATATGGTCAAACAGTGATAAAATCGGGTGTTTCGAGGTGGTGTTTGGATCAGTAGTTCAAGGAATAAAGTTTAGTCTTTCTATTGAGGTGTTTGATCTATGGGCTAAATTTTAGTCCTATGATCTATGATGACTAATTTGCCCTCAATGCACATCAATGCATGGTGGGCTGCTGGGCGCTAGCTGCTGCTCGCGTGCTGGGCGCTACCCTGTGCTCGCCGGCGCTAGGCGGTGCTGACCTGCTGGGATGTAGCCATGCACAGGTAAGCGTGAATGCATTTCAAAATAGTTCACTTATTACACAACCGAATACATACCAGAAATCAAACACACTCTCTATGATCTATTTGAACAAGCCATTAGCTATTTGATCACGAAATGCATTCATGCTTCGATCTTCGTCCCTTGCTTGACGTGTTGGAGGTTGAGAGGTTGATGCTTCAGGAGGAACATAGTTCTCATCACGATCACAACGATCGAAGTTCTTGTCCGAAATACGACTCTCTCGAATAAAATTATGAAGTGTCATGCATGCTACAATTATTTCGCTTTGCTTTGACATTGGATAACTTGACACTTTCAATAAAATCCTCCACTTCATCTTCAAAACTCCAAATGACCTCTTGACGACATTTCTAAGAGATGAATGAGCAAAATTAAAGGTCTCTTTTATACCTTTCGGCATTGGCCCGTTTTGAAACTCCGGAAGATTGTACTTTGTTCCCTTGTAAGGTGCAAGATAACCCGGACGATTCGGGTACCTAGAGTCCACTAGGTAAAACTTCCCTACAGAGGTGAACATTATTGTTACAAACAAAACCTACAACATGAGCCGACATAGGAGATGGATATGTAAACATAGACACTATTGTATCTGAAGGTGGATGTGGAAACTTGCCTTTGTACTTGTTGGTGGCATCATTGAACACTCTTATGTCATGTACTGAACCCGGACAGCCCACAAGAACAAATGTGAACCTCATGTCGAAGTCACAAACAGCAAGCACATTCTGTGTAGTGAATCCCTTCCGACATAGATGTTGAACCACCTTATCATTTGGCACCACAACTGGTATATAAGTGCCATCTAATGCTCCTATACAATTGTTGAAGTGTGGAAAGAACCTAGGATTCTGCATCCTACGGTGCATTGCTCTAAATTCAGGGTCCAGTGGCCTAATTATGCCAGCTGCCAGCTTCACAACACACTTTAAAACTTTTTCAAAGTTGCGGTGAACTATGTCTAGTGACCTCTCCATTTGGTTCTCAGCTTGCTTGACTGACTAAGGTGCACCAACCATCCAAAGAAACATTCCTAAGGCCTCTACCAAACTACTTTTTTTGTGGACTTTAGGCCATATGATTCCACCAACAGATCATGAAGACGATCAAATAATGGTCTACTCATTCTGGACATGTTATAGCATTTGGTACTATTGTCTAGATTTCTAATAACCCAAGCATGACCAGTTTCAATGGTCTTCCTCCTCTTAGCTTTGTTGAAGTAAGTGTCATGGTACATACCAAACATGAGCAGACCATCCATGACCTCCCTTTCATGTTCCTCCTCCTCAAGTATAAGCTTCACAAGTTCATCATCACTTGAGTTAGTCTCCCCACCCACATCCTGAGACACCAGTGAGCACAAACTCATAAGGTAACAGTTCACAAGACAGAAATATTTCAATACCAGATATAGTTCATCACAAATAGGTTCACATCACAAATATACATAATAGGTTCACATGACAACTAATAGATAATAGGTTCCCATGACAACTAATAGATAATATCATAATAGGTTCACATGACAAACTCAAATAATAGATAATAGGTTTATAGCCCCATCTCATGACCCAATCTAATCCAAGTTGTGCTGCCTGCGGCATCTCTTCAAGAAGGCCAGCCTTCCTTCTGGTGTAGTCATGTTAACGAAGAACTCTCTACTGTAGTCATCTTTGCAAATATGAGAGACAGCATAGTACTCTGGATCTGGTTCTTCCACCCCACACTCTAAAGCCAACTGCTAAAGTTGCCTAACAGAAAAACTCAACTACGACTTCCTCTGTTGCTTCGCAGTGTAAGCTGCCTTCAAGTACTCATTTCTTTCAGCTGCATTCTTAGAAGAGAAACTAATGTAATCCTTCATCATCCTAACCATTGGGCTTTTGGACTTCTTGCTAGGACTTTCAGCTGTGGTGCTAGTACTGCTTGCTCTCTTGCGGCTATTTGAACTCATAGGACTATGTTCCATAGGGGCTTCCATGTCTTCAAATCCATTGTCCTCATCCTCATGTTCCATAGGGGCTCTGTGATCATCAATATTGCTTTGTCCAGCAACATAGGAAGTGGAACCATCCACAGCAACACCCTCGAATATTTGCTCAAGCTCTGGTAGGTACTCAGGAGGCCCCCACCTTAGTTTCTTCCAATCTGGATGCTTCTGCACATGTTAACAAGTCAAGTTAGAAAGTGGTCAATGAATATAAGACCATAAATGAACAATCCAATAGCATAAAGAAGTACCTCTGTTGCATCTTCCCACCATTGATGATCTGCAGTAGGCCAACCATTTTCATCACGACCTAAGCCACTGATGTTACGGAGATCTTTTATGAACTGGAACATTTGCTTCAGTTGCCTGATTCGGTTACTGATCTGCTTCCTATCATGCTTCAAGTTTGTTGCACAGTAGTACTTTTCTATGATCAGCTTGTACCCTCTTGCTGTCATAGTTCCTTTGTTGTAATTACCCAAAGCAATTTGTTCAACGAGCAATTTACACAACAGTTTATTATTGTATTCCGACCAATTTGCCTTGTCAGATTTATTCTAGAACATGCATCACAAGAATGGAAGTATTACCGGTTTAACATACACAATCACAATCACATTCTTTTTTTTTTGAGAACTGCATACTCACATTCTAAAATGAAATCATAAGCTCATAGTTCTATCTCCATTTTTTTAACTGTGCAGTTGAGTTTCTTTGTATGATAAAAGGAAAATGAACTGCATACTCACATTCTAAAATGAACTGCATACTCACATCATTTTTTTTCAGAACTGCATACTCACATTCTTAAATGAAATCATAAGCTCAAAGTCCTCCCAAACAAAGCATGCATACTCATTTGAAACAAGCAAACTTTACTGATTTGGATGAAACCTAGTTTTTTACGGATATACCTGAGCGCTCTGAAAAATCTTTTCAACACCGTTGTCAGCTCCATCGTCCTCGTCTTCACCGCGTCGTCCGCCACCGCGAACTGCGGCACGGCTTCCTGATCTGGGAGGCACCAAGGACATGTCACGGCCGCTGGGGGCAACCGGTGGCTTGGGAGCGCGATGGACATGACCGGAGGCCAAAGGCTCTGAGCGCCCTCCATCGCGGCCGGGAATGGTGCCTCCTCCGTTGCTGTTGCGAGCCGCAAGTAACCCCCAGGGTTCGATTACCGCTGTGGGGTTGAGAGGGAGGGAAGCCCATGGTGCCGGCATTGCCTCCATCTTCACCGCCCGACTGCAGGTAGTCCTGGTATGCCGCCATATGGGGCCAGCTCTCCGACTGCGAGTTGAGGTCGAGTCCCTCAAGGCCGATCCGGGGACCATGGACGGAGCTTGAGCCCGGATGGAGGCCCGCCGCGTCGGAGAAGATGTCGAAGCCGTCGACAGGGGAGGAGTACAAGTTCGGCTAGGAGAAAAATCCCTGGTGCCATCACCGCCGAACCCATCCATCTCGGCAGTCCTCGGCGCTGGATGGTCGGGCGAGCACGACGCTGCTCGGTGCTGGGCGCTCGGGCTCGCGTGGCGCTACTCAGTGCTGAGAGCGCGGCGGTGCGGGGGAGGAGAACAAGTGCGGCGGCGCGGGGAAGGAGTAGGAGTGCGGGTGTGCGGTCGGCCTCGCGCGGCGCTGCGGCGTGGCGCTTGGGCTCGCGCGGTCGAGAGCGGCGGCGGCATTACGAGCGAGCCAGGGGATAGGGTTGTGCCGCGCGTGGGGAGCGACAGGGGTATGAGGCATCCAGCGCCGGTTTAGCCCAGTTTATGCCCTCTTTGGGAGTAAAATATTTTAGCCTACTTTTTAGCCATTTGCTCACTTTTAGCCTCCTGTTTGGATCCCCATGGCAAAAAAAGGCTAAAAGTGCAGGGCTAAAGTTTTGCCATGGGATCCAAATAGGACCTAAATCACTTGATTTTCATAAGCTTCATATTTTATAAACAAAATAAATATACAAAAGGAGATTTTACAAGAACATATATACACTAACAAAAAAACAAATTAACCAGATAATCTCTATCAAGCCAAATTGAAAGATCACCTCTCCTGTGTTTTTAGGTGCATGCGACATTGACACCAAAAACAAAAGGGCGTGTCTACTGGTGCCTGTTCGTTTAGTTGATAAGTCATGACTGAAAGTACTGTTGACTAATTTATTGTGAAAGAAAAATATTATTCGATGACTGAAAAGTACGATTTATAAGCCAAACGAACGAGGCGTAGACGCTCGGGTGTTCAAGGACATCTGACAACCGAGTGTCAGATCTCCTTAAAACACGCGATTACAAAACAAACAACAATAATCGAGTGTTGGATCCCAGCCAAACACTTGATTTCTATAACCACTCATCTAGATCTAAAGATTGCAAATAAAATATATCAGGTAAATGCAAAAATCAAATAATAAATAAAATAACAAAAAATACCAGATAATTACTATGAAGTGCAAATTAAAAGAAATTCAAAGAAAAAAGCAAATAAAACATACAAACAACAAAAAAAAATGCAGAAAAATAACCAGATTATTTCTATGGAAGCCAAATTGAAAAATTTCAAAGAAGAACCAAATCAAACATACATAAAACAAAAAAAGGCTAAAAATGATTAGATAGCTGTTAAGTAATTATGATCATTCTTATTTATGAATAATTAATTTACACCAATTAAATACCGAATTTACACCTAAATAAAAGTAGTAAAATATGATTCAATAAGATGTAATATACAACTATTAGAGAAATAAAACTGCATACATACTCCTACGTACTCGTACGAACATGATAGGACCTAACGGCTGCTGGGTACGCGGCACAGGGGCCGAGGTGGGTGGAGTGGCCGGGGCCAGCAATCGCATGTTGTACATGCTGTGCTGCCCTGCCTACAGCCTAGCTGAGCCAGCTACTTGGTCTGATGCACAGGAGACATATGGGAGAGGGTCCGCCGGGTCCCTTGAAGAGCTACTTGGTCTTGCTGCTGTACGTACACGGCTAGGCCAACCAGAAAGAAATAGTAAAAGCTTTTTTTTTGGGATAATTGATGAAATCTAGAACTAACATTTGATCTAAGTATGTAAATTAAATGAGGTAGTCCAATCTAAGAGGTGGAACTAGATGATAGTCATGGTGAATGTAATGGCCACAAAAGAAACGATCAAGTGCTTTATATTTAGAAAAAAAAAAAGAGAAAAACAAAAACCAAGGAGATTAAGGCAAAGGTATAAGATAGGTTTTTGTTTTGGCACTTAAGACAGTATAGAGGGTGTAAGTGCATTTAGGATCGTTAGTCGTACTATAAAGAGTAGAAATCTATGGCTAAGCAATTATCGAGTGCTACTAGGTGACATGATTCTTGCATGTGCATTTAGAAACCTAGTATGCTAACCTTGACCCTTGAAAATGATCTAAAAAATGCTAACACACAAGCACACAAGTTCTACACATTGTGGTTGGCAACTTGAAAGCAAGGGTGAAGCGATTACGAAGTTAGAATTCAAAAAAGGAGAAGAGGGACAGTGACCGGACGTAGAGGGCATGCACGTCCGATATTGAACCCTAGCTGTCAGTGTGCTTCGTAGCACTGACTGGACGATGGGCATGTGTCCGATCAGTGGTTCTAGAGGAGGCGCCGCTTAGCTCCGCAATCAGACCCTTGCTAGCTGCGGCGTGCGACCGGACGCGTAGGGAGTGCGTCAGTTCGATGCTGACGTATGTTGGCGTCACCCTCTTGCGCGAGCCATGTGTAGACCTGACTCGGTGGTGCATCCGGTCAGCTAGGACCTGATGCGTCTAGTCATGAAAAATGCGCTCTGGACCCTTTCTAATGTTGACCGGACCCTGGAGTGGTCTAGCGTTCGGTCAGCGGCTAATGCGCGCGTAGAGGCGCGTAACGGTCGAATTTGAACTGCATGATGGGGTGCTCGCTGGTTGGCGCGGAGGAGCAACCAGACTCAGTGACCGAACGCTGGGGTTGAGTTCGGTCATAGCGTCCGGTGCCCCTTCGACAGCCCAACGGCTTTTTAAGTCTTGGGGCTCTATAAATAGGTGGTGGTTGGCTTAGAGCTCTCTCTCTTGATACTTTGACATACTTGACATCCTTGTGAGCCTAAACAAACACCTCCCACTCATCTCCTTCCTTGATTCGTCATCATAGTGAGATTGGGGGTGATTCCAAGTGCATTTACTTGAGTGATTGTATCTAGTGATACTTGGGGTCGTTCTGGCTGTGGATTTCTTGTTACTCTTAGTGGTTGCCACCACCTAGACGGCTTGGAGAAGCAGAGGAGCTCCGGCACGTGTTGGTGATTGTTCGAGGCCAGCTCCAGTGATTGTGATGGGTCTTGTACCTTCCCCGACATAGAGCCGAAAGGTAACTCTAGTAGATTGCTTGTGTCCTTGAGTTACCTCACTTGTGGGTAGGTTCTTGCAGTGTCATTTGTTGGCTAGGTGTGTGATACCTATTAACCACCAAGTGTTGGTCGACACAACGGGGACTAGCGTGTCGGCAAGCACGTGAACCTCGGGAGAAAATTGGTATATCACTTGTCTCTTGGATTTCTTCCAGTGATTGATTGGTATTCATCTTATGATTGGTTAATTCCTCGACACGGCGGTATAATCACCCTACTCACTCCCTTACATTTCTTGCAATCTAGTTACCAAGCTCTTTAGTGTAATTAGTCTTTGAGAGCTTGTTAGGTTGGTTAGTGTGGCTCTTTAGTTAGTCTTTGATAGCACACTAGCTTAGTGAGTAGTGACACAGTTCATGCTCCAGTTTTGGATGAGTAGATGCTGAAAATTTGCATACCAACATGTGCATAAAACCATGTGGGACACCTTTAGTATGTGCATAAAACCATTAAGAAACATAGTTCCTGAAAATTTGCATATTACAGTATCCTCTCCCCATTCAGATTCTTTACACATCCATGCTCTAGTTTTGGATGAGTAGATGCTGACAACTAACACCCCAGGCGACCTTACCCATAGTTCTACCACATGGAAGTGTGAGGAGATTATGGGATCAAACCCCGAGCGAGGTGAACCATAACAAAGGTTGATATGCGATAGTACCACTGATTTGCTACTCACCGGATTCCAGACAACATAGCGAAGCCCAACGCACTAGCAGAGGAAGAGGCCTCTACAGCAATCTGAGATGACTAAATCTTGAATGGGGAATGGCAAGAAGGAAAAGGTGGGGTATTCACCGGCAAAGCTGGCAAATTGGCATTTGCCTTTTCAGTTGCCATACATGAATCCGGCGACAAACTAGGGCAACTCCTAACGATGCTCGGATTTGGAGATGAGGCGGTATCAGGAGCAACACACACACTTGCAGTTGCACAAGGTGCGGGTGGTTAGGTAGCGGAGGATAAGGACCAAGACATCATCTATGAGGATGTCTACTTCGTTCCTCTTGTTGGTGGCCTCCTCCTTCATCTTGACTAGGATGTGGTGGAGCGGGGCCGGCGATGGAAGCGGCAGCGCTGTTGCCTAAATTAGAATAGGAGCACCTACGGGGATGTGCTCGTGAGCTCCTTAATGATCAGATGGAAGCTTGATTCGTACTCAGATGAGATAAGAGGGAAATAAAAAGCCAGGAAACATGGATAAGGGAAGTGCAAGAAAGCATTACCCTTGCCCTTGGATCTTGTGGCAGTGAGCTCGAGCGGCCATGGCGGTGATGAGTACCAGCCTAGTCATCGGTGGATCTGTCCGGGCGTGCCGGTGAGGCATACCGATGCTGAGCACTAGCTTGTCGGTGGTGAGTGGCAGCTTGCACACCGATGAGTAGGTGAGGAATAGCAGCACTTGAGGAGAAAATGGATAGGGTGGCGGCTAGGTGGGTAGCGGTCTTTGTAAGCTAACTACAAACATGCCAAAAATTCTAAAAACGCGTGGGAGTCTCGCGTTGGCTTGCAAATTTTGAGGATAACGGTGGTGAAGGCTACCGGTGGTGGTGATTTGGTCCTTAAAGAAGATGGTACGTACCACCTAACGACGGGCGTGTCATACAGAAATTGAACGTTGGAAAGGAGATGTTAGCACCTAACGGCGAATAGCGGTGGTGATACAATTTTTTCAATGACGCTTATATCCGACGGTGACATAATTGTACAATATTGATACTAATTCAGCTAGGCCTTAGTAGCTTGTTGAACACACAACATACTTTTTACAATAACAATGGACGCTAACATGACAAAGTTCGTTAGCTGATGTTGCAAAATAAAGGTACTGATCTCTACAATAACAATGGATGCGATTACAAAGCTGTACCATATGGCAGTTTGTACATACAAAGCAACACCCCACCAGCATCATAGTGAGGTAACAGTGTTCAAAATCAACAAAAGACATTCTTTTTCGATTAACTCTGTTACACTTTTCATTCACCAGGTGTACAAAATAACAAGGATCTATCAACAACTGTAGTTATGATGATAAAAACTTTGGCCCTG